ACAGCCCAGGCGCGCCGCGGCTGTCCCGCTGCTGGCTTCCTCAGTGGCTTTGCTCCACGTCTCCCTGGTCTGACCAGCAGACCAAGGAGACAGGGAGCAGCTTTTCCCGCCGCTCCCGTCCTCCGGGGCGAGAAAAGCCCCGTTCGTAACTGCACATCCGACATAAGTTGGATCCGCGTAACTCAGGGACTGCCTGTAGCCATAATTTTGATGTAACTTATGTAATCAAATGTTTTCTGAGTTACAAGCTAAACAAAAAATAACTATCAGAAACCCTGGGCAAAATCCTACATGTGATTATCATTGTGCTTATTTTTACTTCCTTGTCTTACAAAGTCATTTGAACTATATAGGTAACATACAGTGAAGGCTCCATTTTGTCAACAGAAAATGTACCAATTAATCTTGTTGACATTCTTATTTATAAACTATAAAGTACTTGGAAAACTCTGGGGATCCTCAGGGATTTCTGCACTATGATCAACTATGAGCGATCACTTGTGCATTACCCTATAACTCTCTGCCGTGATCTACATAATGCCAATTCATCCCAACAGAAAATCTGTTGATAAAACTAAAAAAAGGGTGCAAGGGTGGTGTGCAGATCAGACACTTAGCTGAGCTGTGGACCTCAGTTCTAAGTAGACAACAGAGAAAACATAAGAGCTATAATAAAGATACACGAATGCAGAAATTTCTATGAATGTAAACTGTTGACCTTTTGTGGTGGAATTCAGGGATATTAGCAAATGAACCTGAAAAAAATAAAATACCAAAATATATTAGTAAATAATATATTAACTGTCAACTCAAAAGTGTGTAATTTCATTTGGTAAGGTATTTTAATATGTGACAAAATTCAAATGTAGACATTTAGGAACAAAGAATGTAGGACCTACTTACAGGAAGGGGGACATTATCTCTAGAAGGTTTTGATAAACTGGAGAGTTGATGGAAGAATCACAAGAACAATTAAAGGATTTGAAACCATGTCCTGTACAGATAGGATCAAGGAGCTCAAACTATGTAGCTTAATAAAGAGAAAATGAAGGGGTGAATTGTTCACCTTGTATAGATAACTATGTTGGAAACAAATACCTGGTAATGAAACATAATCCAATGGCTGGAAGATGACACTAGACAAACTCAGATTGGAAATAAGGCATAAATGTTTACCAGTGAGTGTAATTTTCCATTGGACCAATTCAGTAAATGTTGTGGTGGATTCTCCATCACTGACAAGTTTTAAAACAAGATTAGATTTTTCTAAAGGATATGCTTTAGGCAATCAGCATGTAGCAAAACTCATCTAAACCCCCATTCACAAGGTATTTAATTCATGTACCAAAGTTTAACTGTGAGTTGTTCCACTGACTGCAACAGTGCTCATACATTTAAGTACCTTACTAAATCAGGACCTAATACTCCTATTCTCCACTGCAGAATGTTCTCTGAATTTTGCAAGCAACTTTATTTGCATCATAAATTTCCCATAAGCCAGCCAAAAACACCCTTAGGCATCTTCCTTGAAGTAAATTTTAATACCTTCACTCAGTCAAACAGCTTATCCAGATCCAAAAACAATCACTATTTCCTCCTCCAATCTAATGAGCACTGCTAATAGAGAACACATGCATAATAGCTCCCACTCCAAAGTATACATAAGTGAGCTAATAAAGGTAATAGAAGTATTAACACACATCATCGACTAGAAGAGCCAAGGGGAAAACTTGCAGCAGCTTGTGCAAAGCAGGTAATCAGTATAGAAACATAACCCAGAGAAAGTTTAATGGCAGTGAGAGGAATGCAAAGAACTCAGACAAAAACAAACAATGAAGATAAAATGAACTATGCAAAGGGAAATAATAAAATCAAATCATGAAATTTCAGCATGAAGACAAAAAGCTAGGAAAAGGCAGGGGGGAAAAACCAACTGCCGGTCACAAAACTATAGCAGGAAAAGCAAAAGAATAACGATACAAGTTTAAAAATACATTTAAAATAATCAAAAGATCTAAGGAACTAAAAGATTTAAATTGAATGAAAGAAAATCAGAATTTTGCTAAGCAAAGAGACACACTTGAGATATCTTAGTTACAAAATTGTATAAGGAGAAAAATAAGTCTTTAAAAATTGAACTAAAAACATCAAATCACCAAAATATCTACAGGGAAAATCACTGGAGACAACAATAGTGCTTCAACATAGTAATATTACATCAGCAGCAGCCAACTAATCATGTGTTTCCACATAAGCAAAGCCATACAAGTTCATAACCTCGTGATTAAAGTGCCTTTTCTTTGCACTGCCCTTAAAGTTACATGTTTAGTATTGACAGAAATCAGAAAGATCATGCCATTGAAGAAAGTGCCAAATACAATGTTACCAACTCTTGTAATTTTATTGACAGCCACATGATAATTCGCCTTTTTCTTAAAGCATTGCTTTTTTGTATTCAGGACAATACATGAGTGTGTGAGCTTCCTTTTTTCAAAAAGTAAGTTTCTAGCACTATTGTGACATGAAGAGAGTTCGAAGAAACAAGACATCTCTCAAAATATATTTAAGTTTCAGTAGTTTTAAGCCAAAGACAATTTCTTGATTCGTGTGGGGAGGGAGACAGAGAGGGCGAGACTCATTTTAAATGCGTGTACATGGTAATAGTGAAAAAAACCTCTCTCTCTCCACAACTGTATTCAGGAAATAGGCAATTTCTGTAGTCAGGGTTTTTGGTGGGTAATGAGTATTTTAGCAGCAGCACTGGATGGACCTCAAAAGGGAAAATTAGGGGGTAATAAAAAGCAACTTATTCCTACTATATTATTAATATGATATTGAAGGGAAACAGAGGCTTTCTGCCAATCCTTACTAATTACCAGACACTAGTTATATTTAGCATAATAAAACACTGACTCTGTGTCTACACTACAGAGGGTTTTTTTCGGAAAAATGGCAGTTTTCCAAAAAAAAAAAAACCCCTTCACTTACGTCCGCACTGCAATCATGTTCTTTCGAAAGAAAATCGAAAGAACAGTGGTTTTTTTCTGACATTGGCAAACCTCCTTCTATGAGGAAGAAGCCTTTGTCCGAAAGAGCTCTTTCAGAAAAAGGTGTGTGTGGACGGGGAAGAGGGAGTTCTTTAGCAAGAAGAGGAAAGAAGAAAAAGCACAAGTGCCCTGGTGGCCATTCCGCCCATAGTTCTCACAGCTTAAATGTGAGATAGCGTCTATTCAGTGTAGACGCTATCTTTAAAAAAAGCAGATAGCTTTTTCAATGCGCTTGGGAAGTGTGGACGCTCTCCTTCAGAAGAAATTTTTTTTGGAAGATCTCTTCTGGAAAAGCTTCTTTCAAAAGAAATCTGCAATCTAGACATAGCCTTAGAGTGTTTAGGGCTGAAACCTCAGAGGTGCAAGGATGAGCAGCTCTTCCACTATTTTTCAAGCAAAATGGATAATTTTCTTCATACTACAATGAAGTGATAAAAATCCTACCCTTCTGTTCAAATAATCCTGAAGTAGTACACAAAAGGCAATGTGCTTAATTACTGTATCCAACTGAAAAAAGATATCTGCTATATTTTAATATAAATGCAGCGCAGATACAGATTCCAATGGGTGCTAAGCAAGGAAATGTACTATAAAAATATAGACCTACAAATCCATGAGTTTCTATCACCCAAAGAAGCCCAGTACTTTTTATTATTATTATTATTATTAAAAACCTCCTTTAGTCATGACCCTTTATTTGTTTCCCACATACTCAACACTCGGTTACAGTGCCTGCTGCTCTTCTGCTTCTTCTGTTTTTCTGCTAATGCTCAAGGGTGAAAGTGAGCCTGTGCAGGCCAGTATGGATTCCAGTCAGAGATGGCCACCAGAACAGCCCACACACAACCAACTTTTTGCTTCTCCCCTGTCAGCAGCCAGTAGGGTCTGCATGCACTGCAGCACTTGAACCTCACTTCTGCTTTTGCCTGGAATCCCCAGCTGTTTTCCCTGGGTTCACCCTAACAGATATACAGATCTTCTTACTAAAAGTTGATACTACCTTTTGAACCTAAGTCAATTATGTGCATATACTTTTCCTGCTTTAACTTCTAGAAATAATTTTTTTTCTAGTTAATAAATTTTCAGTTAATTTCAAAATTTACTATAACATTGTGTTCCATTTGAGAGCTAAAGTACAACTGATCTTTGATAAGTGACTGGTCATTTAAGACTAAGAGTAACTGAATATTGTTGTGATTTTTTATGTAAACTGACCATCTCTCACAAACTCAAGCTTACCTGGCGGCAAGACAGTCTCCTTGGGCATTCCAGTCTGTCTGTGACTTCATGTAAGCCTGTTATAGAGCTTTAGGAGTTCACACTTGTTCTTGGGTTGATGAAACCCATTTATAGAAGATACCACCAGTTTGGGAGATTTGCCCTGCTTCTCAACAGTCTTCCCTTACTTTGGCACTCATGGTTGTAAACCACTCCAAACAGCATTTAAGAGTTTTACGGTCTATGACAGATATCTATAAAATCATGGGGTGAAGAAAAAGCATTATTTATTCTTCACATAACTTAAGAACCAAGGGCCACAAAATGCAGTTATGCAGCTACAGGTTTAAAATGAACATAGGGAAGTACTTAATCACAAAACACAGTCTTAAGGAATGTTGTGCAGGCCAGGTTCATAAATGAGTTAACAAGAGAATTAGCTAAGTTCATCCAGCCCTTGTTCTAAATGTCCCTAAGCCTCTGACTGCCAGACTGGACAAGAGGAGATGAATCACTTAGGGCTCATCTGGGCTATGTCTAGACTGCAAGCCTCTTTCGAAAGAGGCTTTTTCGAAAATATCTTTCGAAAAAGCCTCTTTCAAAAAAGAGCGTCTAGACTACAACCAGTACTTTCAAAAAGTAGTCCAGATGCTCTCTTTCAAACAATCACAGTTTGCATTACATAGTGCCTTTTTTTGAAAGAGCACTTTTGAAAAAAGGAGTTCTTCCTCATAAAGTGAGGTTTTCCGCAGTTGAAAAACTACCTTCTTCTTTCAATTTCCCTTCAAAAGAACACAGCAGCAGTCTAGATGCAGGGGAAGTTTTTGGAAAAAGGCCACTTTTAAAAAAAAAAAAACCTGTAGTCTAGACACATCCCTAGATTACATGGAACAGTCGAAAGATCTTCTTCTGATCGCACTTTCAAAAGCAGAGCTTTCGAAAGTGAAAGTCATTTAGACACGGCTTTTACAGTGAACAACCCCCCCCCTCCCCAGGTTTACGTGGCTTTTCGACAAACGGGGAGAGGGGCTCACCGAACACACCTTGTCTAAACTACTTTCACTTTCGAAAGCGGAAGATATGCAAATTCCCACCAAATTTGCATATCCTCTTTCGACTGTTCCGTGTAGTCTATATGAGCCCTCATTAACTTCCTTCTTGTGCTCATTCCCTCCAAATCATCTGGCAGTGGCCACTGTTGGAAGACAAGAAACTGGACTAGATGTACCAGTGGTCTGACCCAGCATGGCCATTCTTATAGTCTCTATCTAAAACCAAATATGTGAGTATAAATGGTCAATGATGCTAGTTCCCGGATTGCCAGTGACATCCTTTATTGAAGTACCTGCTTTTTCAGTCCTCCCCCCCGAAATTGCACAAAACCATTAAAACTTCCCTCAGTGTTCCTAAATGTCCATGGAGTCACTAATTGCTACATTACCCTGAAAGCAATCATTTGTTACCATTCCAGAGTGCTAACAATTGAAATC